AATCACCAGCTACATCAATCCTTTAAAAAGTCTATTCTCATTATTCACATTTTGTTTTCTCTCTCTCCCTCCCTCTTTTCCCATCTGTCTGTCTGTCTGTCTCTCTCCATACATATGTTTGTTGCTACTGTTCATGTGTCCGGTATTAAAGCTCTCCTGGGTTGAAAATAAATAAGGATAGCATTATCTATCTCACTAAACACACACAACACACGGTCTAAAGGTCCCCAAACTGCACACTAAAGGCTGAGAGTTCAAATGACCAAGGCCTTCTGCAGAATGAGAGCAGAGCTGCAGAGTCTGGCCTGTGTTAGACAGCAGGCTGGACTAGGGGCCCAAACCCTGTGCCTCCGCAGTTACCAGCAGGGGCTGGAGGCTGCACAGCTGAAGCTCAGGGCTCCTGTCCATGGTGCTGAAACGCTGCTGCTACAAAATGGCTTGTATTCCCGGAGCCAGGTCACTGGTTAGGCCTCTAACTTCTCCCATCCCTCTGATCTTTTCGTTATACAGAGGGAAAGATCCACCTATGAAGAGTTCCCCGGTTTCTATGCTACTTCACAGTAGTACAATCAAGTATTAAACACGAGCTTTTGTGTGCTCTGATCTCCAGGGCAAGAGGGACACTCCATCCCTGTGGAGTAGGCCTGTGCTCCTGGAAGGCAGGGCATCGCTCCAGGATTGTGCTTCTCAGGCTGTCCCCGACAGAGAGCTGCAAAGAGGACCTGGGTGCCCGGAGTGAGCCCCCACACCTGCCCCTCCAGGCACCCCGAGGAGTGAACGTCGGCAAATGAACAGCTCTGCAGAATGACTCAGGCTTCCAGCAGCAGCAATGTAAAAGGCCATTTATCACCCACTTCTTCAATACAGAAAATGTCAGCATATGTAACCGAAGGCAATGTTTTCTCAGTGTCTTAAAAGAAAATTCGTATTATTAACCACAGACAGTTCGCTTTCTCAAGGGAAGCACAGAAAGTCCCCAAACAAACTTTTGTAACTGTGAAAGGATTTCTCTTCAGCTGGTTGAGACTCTTCTGAAGTGTGAAATGAGCCAGATAATATTCAGCTCTTGTATCTCAGTCACTGAAGTCTCTTTTCACGAATCCAATAAGTGTCTATTAAAATAAATAACCCCCCTAATGACTCGAGATAACCTAATCAAGAAAACTGAAGCAGAAAGAGGCTAACCAGCAGCAGACACGTCCAGGGCTTCCGCAAACCCTGGCCGGGACTCCGGGGCTCAGCCCAGGCCTGTGCAAGGCACAGCTAGAGTCCAGGCCTAATTCCGTGCTGCCTGGCGGTGGCAGTAAAGTGACCTGCTTCCTCTCTGTTTCCACAGTCGTGCGGCCCCCTAACAAGAGGACTGACTGTCAGCCATCTGGGCTCCTGACAGAGGCTCCTCACACTTCTATGGTGCATTCACAAAGGCTGAAAAGAAGGGGGATTTTACTGCACAACTCTGGACCCCTGCTACAGAGGCCCAAGGAAGGAGGGTAACACCCAGTGGTGCTGTCCCTCACCCCAGATACATGCGGCCTCGGCCAAGTCAGGGTTCTTCACGTGGACACGCACTGGTGCACACGTGGTATTCCTCCTGAATACCAGAAATAACACACAAACAGCTCAGTGCTGTGAGGAGGCGGCACAGGACGAGGAGGAGGAGGGGGAGAAGGCAACGGGAAGAAGAAAGGTGACAAGAAGGAGAAAGAAACAAAAGATTTCAATGCATTCTTCAAAGATATAGGAAAAAAATCCTAACATTCATATGGAACCACAAAACTCCAAAAACAAAAATGAAAAACAGCAACAAAAACCAAGTAGCCAAAGCAATACTGATGAAGAAAACAAATCACACTTTAAAATTTAAAGTTTACAAATTTAAAATTACATTACAAAGCTAGAGTAATCAAAATAGTATGGTACTGCATTAAAGCAAAGATAGACCAATGGAATAGAGCAGAGCACCCAGAAATATATCCAAGCATAAATGGTCAAGCAATTCTCAACCAGAGCATCAAGAAGACACAGGGAGAAAGCACAGTTCCTTCAACAAACGGTGCTGGAAGCCGAATTTCCAAATGCAAAAGAAGGACCCTTACCCTATCATCTTTTACCATCCAAAAATATCAAGTCAAAATGGATTAAACACCCAAATATGTATCCAGAAGCTACACAGTCCCTAGGAGAGAGCATGGGGCAAAGTTCTTTCACTGTGACCGTGATAAGGGTTTTTAAGACAGGGTCTAAGACAGGGTCTCGCTATGGTTCAGGCTAGCCTTGCACTCAGTGTGTTGCCCAGGCTGGTCTCCAACTTATGGTGACCCTCCTGCCTCAGGCTCCATCCATGGACTGTGGAGGGAAGACCCCTGGAGGCTGCCTTCAGCCTTCTGGATGGCCACCTCCAGGCCCCAGGTGGCAGAGCGGGTGGGAAGGGGCTGCGCAAGTAGCCCTGCAGAACAGCAGTGAGAGGGACAGGAGACCACAGAAGCTACCGAGGGATGAGGCGCTCCTGCGGGCCCCGCAGGCACGCTGGCCACGGCTGGGCACACAGTGTCCTACACACACCGGCCGGTGACACCCTCGGGCCCATCCATGGCACTGGCATCCCATCCCGATTCTGGAGGAAGACAGGCAGCTAACCCTCTGGACTCCGAGACCACACTGACCACACTGAGCAGCAGTGCTCGGGGAGCGCGCACGCCTCTCATCTGCTCCCAGGACTTTCCTCAGCCCGCCCCGGGCACAGCGCCCACCCGCAGCTCCTCCCCTCCCCCGCCTCCTCCCGCAAAGCTGCCTCCACAGCACAGGGCCGGGCACTATTTTAACAGGTGACTCCAGCAGGCCATACCCCAGGACAGAGCTTGATAGCAGGCCGGGTTCATTCTAGGAGGACTTTCTGACGGAAGGGAGGGAAGGGTGCTGTGTGCGTGAGGATGGGGCTCACAAGAGGCCTCAGTACAGGCCTCACTAATTTGACCTCTGTGTGGACAGAAAAGTCTCCAACAGGCATTCTCTCCTCCACCACTCCACGGGAGAACAAGCGGGAGGAGAGGAAGCCTGTGTTCAGACCCGCAGCTACCTGCATAAGGGGCCACGGCACGTGGTGGACCTCTCCAGGTGTGCTCCCTCCCCAGGCACGCACACTGGTGCTCAGACACACGCGTCTCACACCCTGCGCCCGCCGAGCTGTTGGGTAGGTTAGGCCCTCCTCGCGGCAGCACCATTCCTGAACTCCACACCTGTCCTGCTTGTCTTGTCTGCTCTCCACAGTGGAGCTCCCTGCTGGTCAGGGAGGATGAGACACCGAGCCGCTGGGAAAAGGCAGCTTCCCGGGGTCTCATCCCCACGGAGCTTAGCATTCTGGTTCCCAGAATGACATTTCCTTACAGATTCTACAGAATCCCAGCTACTGATTTCTTCGGGAGGCATCAAAAAACAAGCTTCTGCCAACTGGCAGACACGGCTTTCAATCAGCCACCTGAACTGTGTGGGGAGCTGCGCCATCGCTGTTCCAGGGCCTCTGTGCCAAGTCCATGGGACGATCACAGGCGCTGGGGATCACGTTCTCAGACTGGTACTCCGCCTTCCTTGAAAGATGCTCATAGAAGCAGCACGGGGAGAAACTCTGATGTTTACACTGAGCCACGGCACAGGGACAGGTTTGCAAAACCAATTGTGCAGCTTTTACACTCGCGGCACACTTGCCACATATGTCCTTTATTACACAGTGGAAACCATTAAATGCACAGTAGTTTTGCCAAGTGGCATTATGCATTTAACAGCTTTATTCATGTAACAGCTCCAACCCTCATTATATCTGGCCATGTGCTACACGGGATTTTATGCATCTAACAGTTTAAGAAGGCTGCACGGTATTTTCTTTTCATGTGTTTCATGCTAGGGTTGGACATCACATCTTAGCAAGCTGTGTTTCACTGATTTCATTGATGGAGAGAGTCAGAGTCATCTGGGAAAGTGACTACACTGAGATTGAGAAGGGAAACATCCCAGCCCTCTTCAAAATTTCCTGACATCCTGCCTCCCTATTACCAGCATCTGAAAATACCTGAAGTTAAAAAAAAAAAAAGTCCGGGCCACAGCCTCCCATCCACCCACACATGCTTTTGCCATTTAAAAGCTCGCTTTTTGTTGGAAACCTTCTTGCCTAACAGCAACGCAATGCTGAGCAGCACTTTCTACGCAGGCCCCAGAGGACCTGGTGGGGCGACCAGCCACTTCCATCTCTACACAAGGACATGAAGGACACCTGTCACGCAAGGTCACAGAGGAAATCAAGTTACAGACGCAGTGCCTCTCAGAGTCAGTTCTAACCAGCTTTCATGTTCTGCGAAATGCACTGATGGTTTAGCTTAGGGCTGACAGAATTCCTGCTCACAAGTGTCCACGACCAGCCAGCAGCGGTCCCTTTAAATAAGCCGAAGCAGAGAGCAGGTCCCCTCAACTGTTGCTGTTCACAGAAATAAACACTGAGGCATCTGTCTGCGCCTCTCCCTCAAGCTTTCCCTCCTCACCATCCCGACCACTGGAACATTTTTACTGGAGGAGCTTCCGTGACTTTAGATTCCCCATGTGTGTTTCCCACTGGAAAAACAACTGTCCCTGAACAGAAAAGAAACACCTGATGGGGGAGCGGGGGTAGGTAATCACAGCAGACGGCAGGAGCACAGAGAAGCCCTGACCCGCTGAGCCACAAATCAAGTCAGCTGCAGGAGATGGAAAAGGCCGAGGCAGAGCTCAGTCAGGGCTGGAGCTGCTCAAGGTTGAGTCTTTGCAAAAATACAGTTCTTCAAAAGAAAAACCCAGGCTGTGGCTTAGTCTCACTGTTGAACTGGAGCACCAGCGGGGCCCATGGCAGGCTGCGTAGGGTCCCTAGGGATGAGCGCTGTTACTGTTATTAAGGACAGATGCATTTTTATTGGTGGGAGGAGGAGGCAGAGGGTCTCCAGCTGACCCGTGACTTTGCGCCTTTGCAAACTACTCACCTGACTTTTATTTGCAGCCACTTTGGCAAACAGGGCTTGGGACACCTTGGCCCTTTTCATCTCCTGCTGGATCTCGTCATAAATGGCAGCTGTGATATTGACGTTGGCACCGTCCACCTTCATGGGGAGATCTGCCGTCGGTGTCGAGGTTTTGGCCTACCAAGAGACCGTGAAAATAACAATTTAAGACGCGCTGCATTCAGCCCAGCCATCTGTGCAGAAATTGTCAGAGGGCTTCAGTCAGCTGATGCCAAGCCACATTTGCTACAGAGGGACACTTCCTGTCCATTATTCTAATCAGGTTAATTGTGGTTGGAAATAACTGTGGTGGGCTCCTGCAGGACGCACAGAATTTTGGTGACCCAGCCCTCTCGCTCACGGCCCCTGTGCAGCTCCCGGGAGGGGGGGGGCGGGCTGGGCACCATGCTACACTCGGTCGGCTAGGTGCAAAGCCCACATGCAGTTGCACACACCTTTCCTGTCTAACCATGGTGCACCTTGCAGGAAGAGCCAATTCTCCCAGAAAAAAATAAGTAAATGGGTAGAGGTCTCTAAATAATAAATGATTACTCGATTTAATGCCTCCCCAGAGTCACTCTCATTCTTTATTGAAGCTTTACGTATGTCATTCGAGTATGTGTGGGCCCATCGTTATCATCATCATGCTATCCTGACAGTCACCTAATTTCACCTAGGAAATCAGTGGAAATGAAACAAAATTTCATTTCATGAAACTCGGCTTCGGAATGCCAGTGATGTCCTGTTTTCATTTCCTTAAACTCATATTGAAATTTTATGCATTCTGCAGCACGCATTTTAATTGAATGATTTCCCATCAGCTTGAGAGACAAATGAAGGACAACACAGCAGGTGGCAAGGAAAGCCCTAAACCTCTGAATCCACTTGATCGCAAAGCCTGTGGGGCTCGCTGGGTCCTGGCCCCGGCGGTGCCCGGGTTGGCCTTTGAGGCTCTCAGAGGCCCTGCAGTAGCAGGCCTGACCCCTGGGCAATGAGCGCTGCTGTGGAGTGGGCCCCACTTGTGCCAGGACCCGTGCGGCTGCTCCCTCGACAGCCCAGCTACGGTGAGTGGGACCGAAGGGACCCTTTCCCAGCCCAGGACTCTAGAAAGAGGATTAAATTTTATCTCAATTCTTGTAAGCATCCAGCAAGTGAGGAAAGGTCATGGTTCTCCCGCAGAGGGACCAAGGCCAAAGAGGATGCTTAGCCTGCAGCAGGGAGCGGAGGCACCGTGGCCTGGACCCAGGTCCCCCGTGCAGCCTGCTCACCAGGCCTCCAGCTCAGTGGGCTGTGGAATCCACAAAGTCCTCTTCCCTTCTACCTCCCTGCCACAACCCACCCACACTAATGGCTTCAAGCAACTCCTTTTTCTTCCCCAAAAGTCTAACCCACCATGCGTTCCCCTAAAAGCCAATGTTTTCACATGGATTCCTGCCTTTCTCAGTGGTTGCACAAGCGCCTCCAGCTGTCTCCTCTTTCCTAACTGGTCTGAGATCTCTGGACTCAGAGAGCGAAGCCGAAGCCAGAAGCCCTCAGGAACTACACTGTGTGGTCAGAAGGACAGGTGAGAACAACTGGACTTCAAATCTAGCCCTGCCACTAAGTCCCACAGCCTTTGGGAGTTTCCGCCTGCAGAAACACCTGTTTTCTTATTGGGACCACGGGGAAAGGTCGTCAAACAGCGAGGAAGGAATTCATGCAAAGGGTAACCGCCTCTGGTGATCCATGTGGCTCTCGTGCAGTCGCTGCATTACAGCAAGCACACTGAGAAACACCGGTGAAGCCCAGGGCCGTGAGCAGCCTCTGGAGGCCAAACTTCCCCCGAGTCAGTCCTCCAGGCTGCCAGGAGCCCATGGTGCAGTGCGTGGGGTCTGGGGCCGCCCGGCTCACGGGGACCCTCCTGCACCACGATGCTGGCTACAGAGACGTCTCACAGCAGGTGCTTGTGAGATGATTTTAAAGACCTTCATGATCCCTTCCTGGATCCGTAACTATCAGACCAGCAAAAGTTTCAAAGAAATGGCCCTTCCCAGAAACATGCTTCCACATCTCATACTTATTCTCAGCAATCTCAAAACTGTTAATGATCAATTTCCCATTAAAAATGGGATTCTTTTGAGAAAAAGCAAACTACTGTCTCAGCTGTGTAGCCTTATAAGTGGGTCAAGGTTCTAGAAAGGGTGCTAGAGGAGTCAGGGCTAGGAAAGCACTAACAGGGCTGCTTTAAACAAGCACAGGGGGCTTCTTGAAGGGAGGGATGGGGCCCTCCAATAAAGCTTTCGTGGACTTTGAAAGTGGCAAAAATCCAGGTGAATTTCATAGAAGTATCAGTGCAAATTAACAACGTGCCAGCTTAACAACTCAATGTTAAGCTCCAACATTTAAAAAACAAGTAAAATAGGTTGGCTATACTTGTCCAAAGCAGTCAGTCAAGAGACTTATTTTTGGTTTAACAGTAACTAAAGCTCAAAATTTACTAAAGACTAAAGTGTAAGTCACACAACTTGGCACTGCACGACAGAAAGTGATCTTCAATTAAAAATCTATTGCAGGGTGCAAAAATATAAAAAAGAGTCAAGATGTGTGAGAAAAATTGATGTGCTTTAAAAAGCTCAAATATTCTACTAGAATAAAATTCTTGTTCTATGCTTAATCGGTTCCTTGGAATTTGTCAGAAAATAAACTCGAAAGCAAAACTATAGTACCTGAGCAGAACCACCTCTGGTCTGGTGGCACCAGCCTTGAGTTCTGCACAGACTCACACGTGTTAAATACCACTTGGGGCGCCATCCTTCAGAGCCCATCACAGCCCTAGCAACAGTGCGTGAGAAGTCAACGGAGTGGGAGAAGTTCAGGGAGGCGAGAGCAGGCCGCAGCGTGTGGGCTGGGTCTGAACCAGAACGGATGCACTGCCCAAGCCCTCCACCTTCCTGGGGGTGCTGCCTGCAGCTGCATCGGACCCAGGAGTGCGTCCCTGACTGCGGAACAAAGGGAAGGGTGAAGCCAACCAAGCCTAGGAGGGCACTCTCTGGGGAAGGAGGACGACTGTGGCCCCACTTCCGACTCACTGTCCGGGGGTTGCAGGGTGGCGGGCTCATCACCAGATCTGGCTAATGCACGTGCACCCTGGCGAGGGCTTCTCCATCTTGTCTGTGGATCACTGTCTCCTTCTTGTTCCCAATCATCCTCTGCCACTCAGATAAACACCTGAGTTTCCTGTGCAACTCAGCTCCCATTTGAATGCTCCTCGCTTCTTCTGGACGTCTTGTTACGACACCCCATTCTCCCTACCTCTGCTCGTGCTTCCTGAGGGCCAGCAGGACCCTAACTGCAGGAGGGGCACCCCTGGGGGCCAGAAGTCAGTCCTCTCACCCGCTTGTTTGTAGGTTAGAGAATCCTTAAATGGTGGTGTCTTGAACTTTGCAACATGAAGTACATGGTGTCTGGTGCGGAGGACTGGCGGGGGGGCTCACCTGTGGGGTGCGGGAGGCGCTGGGGCTGCTGGAGGCTGAGGACACCATGCTCACATTGGGGTTCATGCTGCGCTCACGCTCGTCCTGGTAGATGCGGTCCCGCTCCACCTCGGGCAAGTTGAGGAAGTTCTGCATGGCCCGCAGGTTCACAAGCAGGGACTGCGAGGCTGTCCGGGGATCCTCTTCCTTGCGCAGGATCTCCGACAGCAGCCCCTGGTTGGGGGCAGAAATGAGGGAGGGATCAGCCTTGCAGGGCCGCTGGCGCCCCTCAGAAACCCAGACTCACCCCCCGGCTCTCAGGCAACAGTCTGAGGGTGTGTCCACCACTGGATTTGGGGACCCCTGAATCTGACACTTTCTCACCCCCGAGGTAATCATCGGGTGTGCAGAGGCCCGCCAGCAAGGTAGGGCTGGAGAAGTCTCCAAGCTGCAATTACCACCAGGTGCCTCCTACAAGTATTTCAGGAACTGTTAGAACTCTCTGCTTGAAACTGGGAATACTTGGCAGTCCTGCTCAGCTTCACAAATCTGCCAAGTTTGGTAAATTTAGTTCCGACATTTAAACAGTATGGGAGATTTACATCGATTTAAAAAAAAAGTTTGGCTGAATTTCTGTGTGACCGGCCACTGGTTTCAATACACACGTTTTTCATGGCAGGAAAAGAAAAAGACAAGGCCAACGGCTACACCTGGCACTGCACTGTGGGATGCCCCAACACCACACACCGCAGCATCTGTGCCTCGGTGCCGGGGACACCGGCCTTAGCTGAGGTGCCACGGGGCGGCCCAACCCCACCGCCGGGCAGGGAGGACGTGGCTGGCAGCCTGAGGAGCTGGGGCTCAGCTCCTGGTTGGATGTGTGACTCGTCCAAACAGCAGGCCTCAGACAGGAAATGAGTGTTTTCGTGAGCTCTAATGACAGAGAACACACAAAGAAAAGTAAAATGGTGCCAAGATTAAGTGGCAGAGACTCCAGAAAAGAGCAGAAGCCCAAAGTGGGGAAGAGCAGCATGGTGGGCAGAGCCAGATCCACCTCTACCCCACACGTGCAGGGCTCTCACCCGCATCCAGCCTGCATCGGTGCGGGGCAGGACCTGGCTCCCAGGAAAAGGCCACCGCATGCCCGGGTGGCCAGAGACCTGCAGCCTACGATGGTAGAGACCTTTCAGGGGAATAAGGTCTTAGAGTACTGAGGAGGCAAAGCTGCCCACAGGGGCATGCGGCACACAGCGTGCAGCACCCACGGACGCAGCCAGTGGACACCGCAGCCCAGGACCTCACTGTGAGGACCACGGGTGGGCAACCACCCTGGGAGAGCACTGTAGCTCGGGCACAAGGCTGCGCTGACTAGGGGACTCCTAAGGAACGCTGGGAACAGCCAGGGCTAGAGCAGTGTGTGTGTGTGTGTGTGTCTGTGTGTGTGTGTGTGTGTGTGTGTGTGTGTGTGTGCGCATGTGCACGCCATACAAAACATGGTATACAATGAAAAGAGTGTAAGATTAATATATGTGCACGTATATGTGTGTATGTCCATATGTGCTCAAGGAAAGAGCATGGCAGAATATATGTGCGTAGATACCTACAGGTGAAATTGTTCTAAGAAAAATTCAGATTTCTCATCATGCTTTCTGAAGCAACAAGTGAGACATCTGTCTTCCAGAAAGTATTAGGTAATCCAGATATTGATTCTTTTCTAAAATTACAAGTCAGTTCTGTTTTAAGATACCCTACTTTCCGCTTGCACTGAGCAACCTGAAATTCTCATAATGGATTTGTTCTAAAGATGAAAAAAAAAAAAACCCTATAGGTGGAGAATCAAGCAGGCAGTGGATTTTTCCACTATCAGCAAAACATTGAGACTGATATTTTCTAAGCCTTATTTAATAATGAGCCGTGCATAAAAGGAATAAATTGGTCTTAAAATATTTCCAAATATTACAATTTGAAGTTTTAGGAACAACAGGAAAATATACTCTGATAGCTATTATGAGAGTCACTCTGGATATCTCAAAAGCAAAGATGAAACGATTCCTCCCCCATGAAATTACTTTCATAAGTTATAGAGCATATTACAACTAAGACCCTGCATACGAAGTCATGACATAACAAAAACTATTGCTCTAATAGACCACAGCTCGAAACTGTAAGTTCACGGATTCCCAAAGCCCAGTCAAGAGTATGGGATGTTTTAATTGCTTCTCATTTGAGTTACTGTGGTCTTTCACTCTCAAACTGGACAGACCCTTCCTCTGCATTTTCAACATGCTGGACAACCTTCTAGGAAACTGGCCCACTCCTAAGGCAAATGCAGAGCAGCACCCTGAGGAGACAGTCACGTAGAGATGTGGTAGAGCGCTGCTTCCTGAGATCCATTCGCCTTACTGAGGTCTCAGCCCCGCGAGGTGGCCTGCACTGCCAGGGGAACGCGGTCCAAGTCATCATCTAAGCTCTCCTCTGTGGCACTGCGGCCGCACAGCGGATCTTTCAGTAACAAGTGGCTAAGTGGAGGCCCGGAAGAGAAGGGTTCTGCTGGCGTGTCAGGTTTTATCTCTTTGCTTATGTGAGGTGCCTTTAATGTACATGGGGACGTTTTAAAAATGGAGTCCTCCTTCTGCAGGCTCACCTGTGTACGTAAATTTGTTTAGTTGGTTGAAAACCGTCAGGGGGGAAAATCACCGGAAAACCTATGATGTAACTCACACACACCCTGCATCGGCTGGTCTCATTAATGAGAAAAGTAAATGTTTACCATATTGCAACTGTCTTGGATGGAATGTAAATTAATAATTTATCTCACATAAATATTTCTAAAGCCCTTGCCACCCCATCAGCTGGCATTTTAATCATCCGCTGGCCGGGCAGGAGATGTCACTTACACACGGCACTGTGCCGCCTGCGCCATGGACAGCGAGGAGCAGCACCTGGGCACTGGGAAGACAGATGCGCATAGTGAGCAGCGAGGTCATGAATATGGAGAAGGTGCAAATGGAAGGAAATTAATGAAGTAACCAGGATACTGCTTATTAAACTTTCAGGCCAGGAATCGTACTAAAACATATCGAAAGGACTGAGTCAAGTGAATAAGGGTTTGCCTCATCCAAGGCAACAGAGCCCTCTCTGGGGGACATGGCCTCCGCCTCCTGGTGGGGCTGCAGGTGTGGACTGTGGGCCCCATGCAGAAGCCTGCAGGGTGGCCGTGGCTGATGGGCACTGGACTCCACAAGGGCTGCAGGAGGACAGCCTCACTCTAGCCTTTCCCTCCTACCGATGGGCTGCTGGGCCAAGCGTCAAAGCCCTTGCAGCACAGCAGAGGAAGTATGTGTTTGGCAAAAAACTCACGAAGAGCAACCCAACTGGGCTGTAAACTGTGCAGTGGCGACGCAAGGCTGACGCGCCTGCAGGATGGCAGAGGCAGTGGACCTTGGCACACATGCCAGCGGCCGGCTGTTTGGATCAATGAAAGCTCTAAAAGGTTCTCCAACCCTGATATGGGCTGTTTCCACACATGAAACAAGGAAGGTGAGTAATTTTTAAAGTGAAAAAACTCACATCCATAGTTTTGCTTTTAGATAAGCAGTATTTCTTTGTAATGTATCAAATAAGCTGACAGTCTCTACATCTGCACTTTCTGGTGATGTGTTTTCGGTTCCCACACTTCACCAGCAAGGTGTGCAGTCTGCCCCACACTGTCCGTACACGTGACCCATGGCGACACTCAGAACTCCTGGGAATGTCCCGTAACCAGCTCCTAATGTCTATTTTGGGCATCTGTATCACTTCCGGTGACGCTGGCCCTGTCGGACAGCAAGGGACCAGCCACTCCACGCTGATTCCAGGAACACGGAGTCTGAGCCCTTCAAGTGCCTGGGCCCCCGGGGCACAGCGGGGCCACACTGACTGCACTTTCACAGATGACCTCTCTTCCCGGCCCTCCACTGTTGGCAGCCTCTCTGGATCAGACTGTATCTCTTCACAGGAAGTCTAGGGAGACACCAAACCAGTGATGGCAAATGTTTTAGCGCTTTTGATGATACCAACAGTGGCACACATGACATGGGTTCACCACTGGTGCCCTAACCTGGACTCTCCAAATGGCCACAGAGGGGCCTTTGGGCTCAGCATGCTAGCCATGAAGCAGGGACAAGGGCACCAGGAATCTGCTTCCTATTTCTCCCTGGGTACGGAGCTGAGAGACAGACCCTCTTCAGGGAGGACAGGTCTCAGAGTAACAAGTGAAAAACAACAGCATCACAAATACGCAGGAGCTGGTGCCACCCTAGCGAGGAGGAGCCACACGCCCTTGGGGCAAAGGAGGGACTGTGACTCTTATGAGCAGAGAGGACACAGGACCAGGTGGGGCGAAGAGGGCCCGGCAGCCACAGACACGTCAGGAGGAAAGAGAGCACCCTACTCAGATACAAGGAGCTCGTCCCCGAAAGCAGGACTCCAAGCCACAGCCGAGGTTCTCGTGGCCACGCTCTCCACGGCTGCGGTGCTCACCACGCAGTAATGCACACTGCCCCCAAATGAAGTGATATTAGGTAATCTGCACAGCCTTTTTGTCACCTGCAACAAATTAGGCTTTCAATATGCAAAACATCTTCCTTCCAGAAAAACAAATGATCGTGATTCCACTTAATTGTAATTTAATGAGGCATAATTTATTTTTTAAAGTGATATCCACCAGGTGTGCAGCAGGGAAAGAGGCCCAGACAAACCTCAGCTTCCCTTTAGAAAAAGAATCTGACTGGCTGGAGACTGTTTTCATGCCTGTGAATCACGTTTTTCTCTGTGGCCACTGAAGTGGGAGATAAACACAGTGGCTGGCAGTGTTCACGTCTTCATCGGAATGAACACCACTGAGGTATCTCTATTCAAAAAGTACCACACAGAGAAACAGGCCAGCGCTTTGGGCTAACGCGAGCCAGGGAGACAGCAGTGTCACAGGGACCCAGAGATGGCACCTGAGGGTGCTGCCGACCCAACAGCAAACTCCCACTCCGAACTCCCCACTTCCCGAAACACAGGCAGGGTGAGTTGGGAGAAAGCCCAGCACCCTGACATAAGTCAATCACTGATTCTGGGGCGTGAATGGACTGCACATTGTGTTTAAAGGCAATCGTCCTCAGAAGTCAGGTTATAGCTCTTTAAAGACTCAAGAGGCAAAGTTTATAATGTAGGCGTGAGTCTGAGGATGCATTCAGTTTGCAACT